TTCTCTCTCTAAATGCATGGTCAAGCTTGGTCCCAAGTACATAGAACTCTTAATAAAATTATCTCCATAAATGCACATCCTCTATAAATGCACATTTTTCAAAAATTTTCCTATAGTTCCAAGGGATGTTCATTTAGAAAGGATTCACTATATATATTTTATATTGTAATTAATAATATTATTAAATAAAGATTATATAAAATAAACCATATGAAATTTATATATTTTGTTTATATTTTTTGATATATATAAATTAACTAATTCAAATTTTAAGCCAATTATTATTTGGGAATTTGATATAATCAAAAATTTAAAGTTAAATTAAAATAAATAAAATTTATCAAAAAAATCAAAAAGAAAGTTTATATATTTAAAAAAATAAAAAAGAATTTTAAAAACTTGTATCTGTTTTTTTTTTATAAATTTCTTTTTCTAATAAAATATTCTTGATTTTATAAATGAATTTTTTTTATACTTATTTACAAAAATATTAAAAGTTTATTTCAAAAAAAAATGAAACAAGTAAAAAGAGATTGAAATCTCTAAATAGTAATGTTATTAAAGAAAATATATAGATTTTATTACAAAGAAATATAAAACTTCTTTGGAACATCTGTTTTTTGAATTAACAAAAGGATTAATAAAAGAAAATTTTTTTTAATTTTAATTTAATTTATTTGTTAATATATTTTTTTAATAAACTATTTATATATATTGATTAACTTATATATGAGTTTTAAAAAAATTTTTTTAATATAGTTTAAATAATTACTTTGATAGACTAATATTTAACTCAAATAAGTTAAAAGATGTAAATTCTTTTATAAATATATATTTTATATACTATAATAAAGAATTGATGCTTACAAAAAAAAATAATAAATATTTATCTAAAATTTTATTATTTTATGTTTATTTTTTCTAAAAGTTAAAAAATTAACATTCATCTATTAAAACTTTAGGCAAACAAAGAACAAATTAATGAAATTCTCCTTTCATATTCAGCAGCTCGGATTGTTATTTTAAGAAAACATGTTCATTATTTGCGATTATATCTTTTAATATTCGAACAAAGTTAAATTCCCAAATTCTATTTTTTAATATTCTAACAAAAAAAAAAAATAAAGATAATAAATAACAAAGGTAGAAAGCAAGTTAGAAGTAAATATATTAAAATTTTATTACTTTAATAACAGTATCCAAAACTTCATCAATGTTGTCAATTCTATGCGAACTAGACGGGTCATCCTGTAAATGATTACAAAGGAATAAATTTACTACTCAAAAATTCTCACGTGGAGTGACATATTTTGAGAAATAATATCATTACCAAACATTTATTAATCTTTCCAAAAGCATCAACAAGAATCTTTCTTGCGGCATTTCTATGAATACCTATTTGTGCCAGTTGATTCTCATCCATTGCTATTGCGTCTCTAATCTTCATTCCTTCAAAACATGATGTAAATTTAATCAAATTATGTCCTTTTAACCATAATGGGAATTCTGTGTTCGAAAAATTGTAACGAAAGTATTAACTATACAAATTACTATTTATTTATTTAATTAAGTTATCAAAAACATATTTATATTCTTTCAATTCAACCGCGCCTACCTTTTAACAAGTGAAAATTTGGCGTTTCATAATTATTCTTCCAAAATTCCATACGAGCCAAATATCGTATATGCTCGCGTTTTTTATTCGATAGCCGTTTTTTTATTCTACAATCCTCCTCGTTTTGCTCTACTAAAATTCCTTCATCCTTATTACTAGATGTTAAATATTCTCTTTTAAAGTAAAAAGATTTTACGCGACCAGTTAATTTATTAATATTTTTAATATTAGCGTATTCCACAGAAGAAAGTGAGGATACGATGTTTAATCTTTTGATAAATACAGACATATTTGAATATCTAAACTTTTTTGTGTTTCATAATATATACACGTGATTTAAAGGTATAATAATATTTTTTTTTATTTATAAATTATTTAAATTACATAAATTTTTAAATAAATTTTTTAAAATATAACAATATAACAATATGAAATTATTAAAATTTAATAAAAATTTTTTAAATAGATAAATATTACCATAAACCACTGCATACAATATTTTTTTTTGAATAATATCCTTTTTGATTTTTTAATAATACTTTTTTTTTTTTTTTTAAGTAATTTTTTTGATAAAATAATTAATATCCAGGATATTATATGCATTGATTTATGGTATTACTTTTTTTTTAATCTTTTATAATTACAAATATAATAGTATATTTAAAAAATTCTTTTTTTATACATATATAATATTTTTTAATTAAAAAGTTGCTTCTTATTTATGTTTTTAAATAATTAAAGTATTTTTTAAAAAATTTATATAATATTAATTTTAATTATATATTACTTATTGATAATATATATATTTTTATTTATTTAATAAAAAATTTAAGTTTAATCATAAACAAAATTTTTAGTTTTTAAAATAATTTTTTTAATAAAAATTATTTTAAAAAAACTTAAAAATTTTTTATATTAAATTTATATAATTTATAAGTAGGTTTGTAAAATTATTTATAAAAACTAACTTTAATTATTATAATTTTAATGATTTAATTATAAAAATTTTTAACGTATTAAAAATAAAAAAAATTTTTTTATTTTAAATATATACTAAATTTTATATAATTTTACATATTAAAATTTTAAATACAAAGTTTAGAATTATTTATTTTAAAAATTTGTAATAAATTTTTAATTTTTTATTTAAGTTAATTAAATATATCTTAAATTATATTTTTTATAATATAAATATATAAATTATAAAATTAATATTTAAAGTTTATTGAATTTTTCAAAATCTTATTATAATTTTAAATATATAAACAAATTTGCTTGTATTATAATTTAAGAAATAAACTTTATTAAAAAACTCTTTTCTGATTGTATCTGTTTTATTAAAAATTTTCTTTTTATAATAATTTTAAGTAAGAAAAAATATTTAATACTTTTTATCACAAGTGAACCCT